TATTTTAAACTTAATTAAAAAAAAGAAAACACATGAACAGATTTAGTAGAGATGATGAGAATGAGTGCCTGTTCATCTATATTTTTCCACTATTTGCGTGCGAAAAGATCGACTCATATTAAAAGAATTTTATATCCTAATAATAATAATAATAATAATAATAATAATAATAATAATGATCGTATGTACGCATGAAAAACTATTAAATCTATCCGCACTTTATAATTGTGTTCTCACGCGAGAGGTATATAATTAATTATTTAGAAATAAAAGAGGAATAAGTATCATCTCGTGTACTTCAGATACCCGCTCACACTTGTTCTATAAATTATTACTAGTCATTAATTTGCTTTAAGCTATACGTGACAGAAAGATTATCTAGAGAAAAAAAAAAAAATGCACACAACTACTGATGGATGGATACTAAATAGAGACGTATTAATCAAATACGATTGTAATTTTTCAATAAAACAATAAGATATCGTCATTTGTCTGTTATAATAATGAGAATATCTTAGAATTTATATTGTATCTTATTTGTTGAAAGAAGCCTGCTGTTATCACTAAAAAATGTGTAAGTTTCATCAATATCTACCATATTATTTATATATTTGAATTGAGATTTTTTTTTTTTGTTGCTTTGTTCTTTAATGAGCTTTTTTTGTTTTCTTCTACTGTATATATCTAGATTGTATTTTGTCATGATATGTTTTTCTCTAGTCTAATGTACCACAAACATGCAAAGATTCCCCACTGGCGTATAAGAGTGGTCATGTAATTGATTTTGAATATAACATTCGCATCCGCGAAAACAAAACAAAAAACCGGAAAAAAACGCTAAATATTCATATGGGAGAGTGCATTTCCTATTCAAGATACTAATACATTTCTGATTTATATATAAATCTATAGTTTGAGATCAATAAAATGCCGTGTAAATGAAATATTTCATTTCCTTAACAAATAAAGATGGTTAATAAACACTTGAATTTATTCGGCATTTTTGTTCTTTTATTTTTTGTTCTTTTTTTTTTTTATAATATACAAAATAAAATAAGAATATTGAATTTAAAAATAAAAAATAGAATATGTCAAAGAAATAATAATTAGAATGACACAATGTCAAACTAATATAGTTTTCATTCTAATCATTAACATTAAGGTACATTGTTTATTTTTAGCAGTTAGTTCTAGACTAGTTTCATATAAAAGAATTTCTGTCTGTTTTTATATATATTTTATCCCATTAAAGTTGACAAGTATATTAGGAAATATATACATGTTCGTACATATTTTGTTATTCTTTATGTTTTTATTTACTTAAACTTGTCTCGACTCTTTTTAAGAATTTCTATCGTGAAAACATGATTAGTAGAACAAAAGTATCACCTCTAACGAAGTCATTGTCGCAAAGGAATAACACTAGAGAAAATATAGATATCTATATTGTTTCGATCAAAATCATGACAGCAATGACAGGGGGGGAAGGGGAAGGGGGGGTTAAAGAGCAAAAAAAAAGTTGTTTCCTCATTCTGTTTCCTCATGCACATACATAGATTGAGAGACAATTTACACTTTCGTAATGTTGATAGATATGCTCTTTAAATAGATAAAGATAATCATCCTCTCTTCTCTTATTTCCTTTTCCCTTTTCGCTTTCTTCTCTCTCTCTCTCACACACACAGCATGTTTAATGGGCATTTTATTCTTTGAAACATAATAATAACTAATTTTTCTATATTCTGGTAATAAAACAGTTGTTTGTTATACATACATTAACACATGTGTTCATTAATTTATTCTTAACAATAGTATAAGAGTATTACAAGTGACTTCAAAATTATATGTATTTTATTTGAATGAAAAAATTAATTTCTGAAGATTCATTTTGGTGATTGGTAATCTACGTGAATTCATTACAACAACACAAAATGATTAGAGTAAGTGAATTAAATTAATTATATTTATTTAGTCTTAATCAAGTACAAGAAATAAATATTTTTCTACTCTTTTCTTTTACAAAATAATATTAGAGATGAAGATGACAGACACCATTATCCAACATATTTTCTCATATTCTTTCAGTAACTCTCTCTTAGATTATTTAAAGTTCTCTATTTTTTTGTACGACTCGACTATTTACCAGTAATCTGATACATTGTACCTCTAAATTTTGCAGACGTATTAGAATAGTGCTCAAAAATCAATTAAATGTCTAGTCAATAATAGAAGAAGCACTGAATTTTATTACAATTCTGTTTTACTTCCTTTTTGAGAAAAAAAAACCACTCCTTTTATATTACAAAAAGAGAACAAAAAAAAAAAACGGTAAAGTATTTTATTTAGTTTTGAATACAATTTTTTCTTTTTTATTAAATTATATTTCTGTTGTTTTAATTTTACTTCATTTAAACTAGTGAAACACCACTAAGCATGAAGTGCGACACATATTTTTCAATGTCATGACATTTATTCAATCTTTTATACAGAGATTTTTGATTCGAATAGATCAATGAACACTAAAGGACACTAAAAGTAATGATATGTCAAACTAACAATTGTTTGTTGAAAAAAACAAACATCTTATTTTGAAGCTAGTTTAACCGAGGCTTAATGCACCTTTTAACCCAGGTTAAGATAGGTACAAAAACAAAAACAATATTTTTTTTCTTAGATCATGTTTGTAATGTGTGTACTTATTTACAAATAAATAAGAGGCGATTTTATGTAAAGACAGATCGATTGATATCATTACTTTCTCATAATACAAGCAAAAAAAAACGGATATCCTTATAGTATTCTGATCTAAAACTATTGAAAATACACCTACTTAGTTTTATAGTAAGCTGCAAAAACAAAACTTACTCGACTCGTTCTAGTAATTCAGTCGATACGTTAATAATTTTCCTGATTCGTCAAGATTTTATAGTGTTGGCGCCTCATTAACATCTTTCATCTAATATATTATCGACGAGTCAGTAAAAAAATTAATGAGTCAAAGAATTGGGAAGTCTATATGCTCCATAAGAATTGTGTAATTTATACAGATTACAATGTTCCATTGTCTGTAAATAAAAAGAAACGTTTGTAAAGCTTGAATCGAACATGAAAGACAAACATAAAAGAGATGAGTTGACTTCTTAAATTATAATTTATCTTTTATGATATTTTTACTAATTTGAATGAAGTGAAAAAAACAACAAAAAAATATAATTTAATAATCTAAACATAGCACTAGAGACCAACATAAAATAAATGTTCTACCTTTTGTAATAGAAAAGAATTTTTTTTTTTTCTCTCTCAAAAAGATGAAGACAAAACTGTCAGAATATTTAGTGCAACTGATAAATGATCTATTCACCACATATCAACAGATATAGAGTAATCATTCGTTTCTCAAGGCCTATGTGACACATATAGATCAGCTGTATGAATTTGACAAATATCCGAAATTTACTTTCCTTTTTTCTTTTTACTTGATGTTTTCTCGTTCTTGTATATTAGTCTCTATAATCAATTCGCACGTTCTATGCCTTTAGTCGAATGATCATGGGAAAAAAACAATTTTGGATACATGAATCGTTTTGTGCGCATTTTTCATAGGAAAGCGAAAAAAAGTGGTTCCTTTTTTTTTTTTTCATTATCCGTTGTTCGAACGAGAGAGAGAGAGAGAGAGAGAGAGAGAAGAAGAAGAGAAGAACAATGGCACCATACACATCTTTTTCCAAACATGATAATAAAAAAAAAAAAAAAGTAAAATGTTTTAATAGTATGCAAAGAAAAGAGAAGAAAATCAACCGGGTGTTTTTTCTACATTTTTTCAACTACTGCTACATACCACTAACTAATAAAGGAGAACATTTGAGTGTTTTCACCTCTCTCATTTTCCTTCTCTATACGTTTCGTTTTCCGTTTGAAATACAATATAATCAAGTAATTTTTTTTTGAACATTTTTTCATAAACTGATGACCATTTTTTAGAGGATAAATAATTTCTATGTATAAGAAAAAACACCGATTTTTTTAAAAATATTTATTTTGTTTCTTAGATATTTATTCATCTCTCTCTCTCTCTCTCTCTCTCTGTCTCTTGGTCTCTATCTATATCTTCTTTTTTCTTCTAAGAACACGAACGATTGAAAGAAAAAAAAAGAGATTAGAATACTATTATTATATAGCAAAAAGGATGTTTTGTTCAAAAAAAAATATCATAAAATCTTATTAGAGATGTTCGAACGAGCAATGAGATCAATAATTGAATATGCCCAATAATACATTTAACAGTAATAGTTGTATTATTATCATTATTTGTCAAAACTAGTAAACTGTCTAATAGTTGTTTTGAATCTTGTTATTATCATTATTCTAACAAACGTAAGTATATAGGTCTATAATGAGAAATTATATCCTACAATTACTAATTAGAGACATCTACAAGAGGTATTTCAGTTAGTTTTTCACTACTTTTCATACAATTAATACATAGACTTTATTCATGCTGAACAAATTATTTGTAAGCACTTTTTCTTTCTTTCTTGATTTTTTTCATTTTTATAACTGTTAATCAAAATTTATTTCTTAGTAAATTATAGACTTTTGATATTTTCTACGGTAGTCTAGATAGTTATTAAGAAGATTTTCTTAACTGTTGTCGTTTTCTTATGTTTTTATCCTAGAATATTTTTCTATATTCTATTCTATATATATATATATATAAACAGAAGTACGTAGTTAAGTCTAAATGATCAAATTATCTTTCATTTGACTATTTTCTGACAGTTAAAAATAAATGATGGATAAAATGTGGTTTGCTACTGCCATTTTTCCTTAATTTTTCACTAAATGGTATGGAAAATAATTTGATGGATCTGCGCTCTTTTAAGACAGTGATACATCAATTATTATTTTTTCTCTCCCACTTTTTCTCTCTCTCTCTCTCTCTATTCTAGGTTAAAAAACATTTTATATAAAAAACAATTTATATGACAATAATGATTTGAATGGCAAAAGATGAAAAATATTTAATTAGAGCATCAACAATTTTAGATGTAAATGATCCACAACCTGGTGAACAACAACAAGGTGATGAACAAGATGAATTTTTAAAACATTTAGTATCTAAACATCAACGTTTAATTCATCATTCGTCTAATGTATCGACACCACTTTCAAGTGTAACACCTATTACAGCCATACTCGAATTAAAAAATCGTCGTAGTATCGCTGAAGTAGAACGAAAAAAACGAATTATTGCCAAAATTGTTAGTATTGTTGGTTTACTTATTATTTTATTATGTGCGGCCATAGTAACACTAACATTAAAAATGGCTCCCAAAATCGATGAATTAGTACGAAAAAAATCGGGAAATAATTTAATGTATTTTCCAAGTAGTCGAACATCTACTACAAAAACAACATCAACTTTTACTATTAATGAATTATTAACGACAAGTAATTTGACAAATATCACATCTACATATCAATATTCTCAAAATAGAAGAAGATCGAGAAGGTAATATTGCCATTTTAATCTCTATTTTCACATACAGATTGCAATTGTTTTATACTTTTATCTTTTATATTTTCTACTATTTAATCACCCACTTAGCATGCCGTATTAATTCATCATTAAAATTCTGAAAAAAAAAAGATAGTTAAAAAAACATTTATTTGTACAAAAAAAAAAATGTAACCGATTAAATGATAAACACAATAGAGACTATAAAATTCATATTAAATATAGATCATGTTTATGGATCAGACATAACATTTCTGTTCATTCCATTTTTTCATAGAAAAAAAGCATTTTATCTGAAGAAAAACTCATATTTTCCAGACAATATTCAAATATTTATTTTACATAAAATTTTGTAATTATTTTTTCAAATCTTTTTGTTAAATCTTTTCAGAAAAAATAACCCAAAATGATATAAATTTTGAGATGAGATTGGCATTGCGCTAGTTAATACGATTTATCATTTTTTGAAATAGAAGTGGTGCATCATTCCTAATAGTATAATACTTTTGCAATCTGAAATGTGTATTCTTTAATATTTGTTTATGTAAATGTCTAATCAAATAGAAAAAATCAATATTATAAATCGACAGCTAGACCGATTACACATATATATGCATTGTTACTCCGTTTTTTTTCTTTTGTTTTTTTTTTGCAACTAAATTATCTTTGATTCAATTTTCCGTTTTGTATTCAATATGCAACACTTTTTAGTTTTATTGTTCTTTGATTGTGGACTATTCTAACGCAAATAATTTAAAATTTCGCAAAGCGTATTTTCTCTTTCTCACTATTGTTGTTTGTTTTCTATGCAATTAACTGCTCTCTATTCTACTCGGTCTTTTTTTTTTTTATTATTTATGTGTTGCAATAAAAAAAGTGTCTCTACTATGTATTTTGTATTAGAATATTTTGTCATGCGGAAAATAAAAAAACACATAATACACATATTTTTATTGATCGATAACAACAACAGTTGTATTTGTGGTGCTTCTTCTTCTCATAGAAAAGATTTTGTGTTGTCTTAAAAAACAAAAAAAAAAAAACGTATGTCATCGATTTTATCTTTCACTCTGTTCCACGACTATGTTAAAACTGATTTTATCAAATATGACAAGCTGAAGTAGTTTTCTGCATGCTAACTGTACATGTCAGACAAAATAAACTTGATTCATATCAACATAGAATTAACATTAAAAAGAAATTAAGAATTGATGTCCACTTAATAAGAATTTATATTCCACGACTTTTTTAGCAAGTTCTTAAATTAAGAGCTCGATAACATGTTGCTAAGAAATACTACAAGTTAATAATCATAATAAACTAACGAAATCATGAAAATAGAGCATTCATTTTCTACAACATTTGTCATCTTGATAATAACTATGAATATCGCTGTATCTCTGAAAAATACAGAGCGATCGAATAAATCAAAAAGTTTGAACAACTGTGCATGTATCACAAAATAGACGTATATATCAATTATATTCTATATAAAATCCACTTGGATAAGAAAAATTTTCTCTGCTAAACTTCTTTTCACGCATACAAATCTCTTGTTGATCTGTCAACAACTGTTTTATTTTTTGTCATACAACAACACTAGTAACGATACTCTAAGAACATGTACTTAGATTAAACTTAGAGTTCGATATTGGAAATGAAAACTTGGTTTACTGACTCTCTTCTCTTTTAACACAAAAACAAATTACAGTCAGAGATTATAGCTTAAATAATAACTTACTTTGAATTTGCATTTAAATATAGCGCATCAGTTTCATTCAAATTATAACTTTCGTTCTCAGTGTTATTTCGAATTGTTGATTTTCCACGCTATAATCATAATACAAATAATTGTCATGTCTTTTAAGGGAGGTATTCTTACAATTTGCCACAACCATAGTTCTATTTGACTTTGAATTGTATGATCACCATTCGATCGCACAATTACCTTAAAAAAAGAACAGTAACAGTTTTCTTGCACGAAATGATGTGCTCATTTACCTGCATTTGAAACTTGTCAGGAAATAAACTGACAGGACCATTTTTCAAATCTTCACTGTGTTTTGTAAGCCAATCAGATAAATAAAATGGATCCCCTACCGATATTTTATCATCTATTGGAAATGGGGTCACTTTTGGAAAACTATCTGCTAGTCAAAAAAACAATCATAGAAAGAATTCAACTGCACTTCAGCGTATACCTTCACGTGGCTTTCTAGTGTGATATTCTTCCGAGGTAAAATATCTAAATAATGAGTGAAAGTGGTGCAACAAAAGCTTTTTTTCTCAAATACTTCTTCTTACTCTTTGATAAGAGGCGGTAATTGTGTACCTAAGTTTGTTACATGAAACCACCGTTCAAATAAACGATCTGTGTTTTGATCATCGACGTAATATCTATTAAAAGTCACGAGACTTGTTTAAATAGATGATGATACAAGAAAGTAACTAACCTCAAACCATCAAGTTCCTCTTCTGTTCGTCTTCGTTCAATAACTAAACCAACTGTGTTTTCAAATCGATTTGGTGAGTGAGGAATCCGGGCAGGTAACAAAAATATCTAAAAGCAAGCGTCATAGTTATAACTCATCAATATGCGAAGTAGCGATCAAATACCCCTGAAACTATAAAGATAAGAGATAGATGAGTTAGATTAAAATCGGAGCCAAACGTCGCAAAAATTTCCATATGCCTCACTTATTTTCGAAGTAAGTCACTTCCAAATCGAAGGAAGATTTTTCAAAACTGGAATCACAGATTTTTTGAAGCAGGAAGCGGGTTGCCAACTCCATACATCCCAATTGGAGAGCCTTTAGTGGCGACAGTATATAAAGTAACAGCTTAGCAATATACGTAAAGATACCTTAGAGAAAGTACATACTTGTCCTTCCTTGATGATAATGTCTCGAGATTTTCCTTGTTCCACTACTTTTAAACACATATCACCTTTTGTCTGATAAAACAACTAAAAACATCAAACAATAAACATCAAACAGTTCAGTTTTCACTGTCGTTTCCTTACTTCTTCTCCTTCTTCGATATGATAATCTTTTCGTTGATTCGGTCCACCAACAAACATGACTGATAACTGTTCATTATGCCTAAGAAGACATTACGTGCAAATACATTACACCATAAAGCTTACTCTGATTCACAGATATTGAAAAGCTCCTTACTTCTGAATATTTGTTTTATTGTTTCTTCCAGAAAACAATCTATCCTAGTGAATGTACTTGTGCAAGTACTTAGGTTAATGAAGACAGTACTTACAGACGTTTCCAAAAAAATTTACTTAAAAAAGTACTTGACAAGTAAAATTTAAGTACTTGCATGATACAATGCAAGTAAATTTACTTGAAAAAGTTCAATCTAGTATTTGCTCCATTTATTTTTATTTTGTATTTTATACATATTCAAGTACTTGTACCTAGCGGTGGAACCAGGCTTTCGTGCTAGGCAAGGCTCAGTCCGTCACTTTTCTGGAGTTCGGTCTGAAGTAGCGCTAATAAATTTAAGCTGAATTTCAGCAAAAAATTTAAAAAAACTGTCTAGCGGGGCTCAGCCCAGTCTAACCCTATTTGTGGCTCCGCCACTACTTGTACCGAGTACATTCATTAGGGTAGGGTTTCAAACTACTCGACAAACGCAACACTAATTAATCAATAAATCACTTACATTAATTTATTACATATTGGTGGGTTGAATTGATCTTTATTCTGATCAATCCAGTTGTGTACATTAATCGGTTGATTATTCTTGTTAACCATACTTTGGTCTTATATTAGCAGTTAACTTCGCTCCCTAATGTTAAATAGCAATAAAAATCTCGATATAAGAGCCACAGTACACAGATATAATTCGTTTTTAGTATCGCGAAATACGCTTTAAGTTCACATGTGAGTTTGGACATTATCATATTATAAGATAATATTTTATAATGTCCAAACTCACATGTGAATCGACTGACATTTTCTTTTTCGTTCTGTATACTATATTATATGTGTATGCCGTATGTACATAGTATAGATAAACAATATCATATTGACACAATACAAGTGTATTATTATTACGACATTTTAAGATAATTGAAATTAAGAAGATACACTTTTTATTTGTAAATTTGCATTAATGATATGTGAACTATGTCAGTAAAACAATGGCAGAACGTCGAATCAGTACCAAATGCACCTACACTGGCGACCTCTAATATATGTTACCTCGGCTGAACGGAGAGAGATAATTGTGATGTTTTCTGAGCAAGCACTAAAGGAGGAGTATTTATTAGATTTCTTTTTTTTGACTCTCCTCATTTTTGGTTGAAGCAGCATTTATCGAGGGGGCCACTGTTGCAGGAACGTCAAGAATATGGCATTGTAAGAAAAATTCTACCTGTACTTTTTTAGATGATTTTATGCTCAAGTTGACAAAAAACACACTCCAATCTGTAAGTTGCATTTTATTTTGATTTCCACATATGAATGCTTGCTACAATAATTCCTTTCTCTGTGCTTCAATTTATCAGACCGAACTAAAGTGAATTCTGAGAGAAAGTCGCATCGTTTGTTATTATTCAGAATGCTTTATATATATTTTCCGCAATAACTGTAGTTCAATATTTTTATTAAAAATTAAAAATAATACAAAAATGTAGTTAGGCAGATAACGACAATTATTAAAATCTAAACAGAAATAAATGAATCTTTTATTCTAAGATTTTTCTCAAAGTCCATGTTGTCAAATGTGCTGTATACTGTTCTGATTGTAATTAAAAAGGGAAAGTTTTTGCAATATGCTAATTCATACAAAATATAAAAAAATAATGTACAGGAAAAAAATACAATATGCGTCAGTTATTTCATTTAGGTGGGGAAAAAATTTAGTCAATTGATCAAGCAGATTCTTTAGACAGAAAATGGTGCAGGTGAAAGAAATCTAGTTTTCAAACAACTCCAGAACATCTACGATTTTTTAATTTCTTTGAAATCTTTATGAGAGATTTATATTTTACTTATATTATAAACGAAAACAATTTGACAGCCGTAAAAAAGAGCAAAAACAAGAAATATAAAAAAAAGTTATCTAAGTTATCTAAAAAGTTATGTAAGTCTGTCTAATCAACACAGATTACCAAGAATTACCACCATTAATTTCATTTCTTAAGTTTCTATAAAACTGGTTTAGTCAAGATCTAAAACAAATAAACAAAAACAAGTACAGATCAATGTTGCTCTTCTTTGAGTCAACAGTTAAATAGGGTTTTGCAAAGAAAGTTACAGACTTTTAGTACAGAAACAGAATATTCCTCCGTGATGTCTAGGGTCCTTGTACAAAATAACCATACCCTCACTCTCACACACATTTACAGTGTAAGATAAAAGAAATATAAACTACTTCAAAAGATCTAACAAGACGGCTAGAGAGAAAGGAAGACAAAGACTTTTAGTTGACATTTTCGGAAATTAGTTTCTGCTATCTTATTTAACGTTTGACACATGAAGACTCTATTCAACAAATGAAGATTTTATTATTTTTTTATTCTAAAAAAAACCTTTGAAAAACAAACGGAAGGAAAGTGTAAAAAATAACGATCGATACTTCGGCACTTTTTATAATTGCACGGATCATCGATCGACAGACAATCTGACCGTTAAAGGACTCCATCGTAAATGGCTAAAAACGATAAAAGAAAGACGGTTGGTCGGTAATTCCACACCTCTCTGCTGTTTAAATTTCGATAAAAAAATTTTAGCATAGCTGAAAATTCTGATAAATCAAAAACTAATAATATCAGCTGTCTTATTCACTAAAAATCTTCTCATGAAATTCAGTCGCAGTAACATACATCTCAACGTGCATTACTGCATATCCTGCATCCGTATTAATTCGACGAGTCATCCTTTATGTGTCCCATACTATAGCTTTAAGTCATTCTTTGTTATTGACCAAAGTGATCAAGCAAATATTTTTCTATAGCTGATATAAAAGTCTCTCGAAAATGTGCGATAGTTTTTGAATCAGATCCAAAATACAGAAAAAGGTATGGCACTGTCTCTTTTTCTATCGTGCTTGAAATGATCTAACAGCCATTGGCTAACTTTCGTTCAGGTTGGAATAAGCCATGAGCAAACGCTGCGAGCACATTACTACAATCAACGTAATTTGCTTCGGTTTTGCGTTGATTTTAGTAATTTGCTCCTAGCCCTTTGAGTGAATTATAGAGGAACTGGATCTCGATAGCCTGATCAAAGTTCGTATTTTTCCTACTTATTTTTTCTCCCACAGAAGAGATAAATATAACACATAAAAGATGACGCGAAGTAAAGAATATTATGAACGAATATTTTTTTACCTAAACAGGACACAAAAAAGTTTTTACACTGTTGTGCCTAGAAAAAGAAATGTGTCCAGATATATAAAAGAAGATTGTTTTAACACTAGAACGCCCGGAAATTTTCATGACCCAGAACGCCCAAAGCGGTCATTTTTACCGTTACTGTTTTTTTTAAAAACTTTATACTTAAAAATGGGTCTGAATTCAAAAATGAATTAAAAATTTTGCAAAAAATAATTTTTTGGGATAAATTAAAAGTTATGACATAATTTATTTTTAAATAAATTGTATGCAGTTTGTTTTATTAAGGATAAAAATCACAAAACGGTCAAAATGACCGCTAAGGGCGTTCTAGTGTTAAAATGGGTACCAATTCTGTTAATGAGAATGATTTTAGCTTATTATTGTCATCCATTTACTGAGGCAGTATCAGAATTCTATTATTTTAGTAATTTCTTCAGTTCGTTTTATTAAAACATTTTTTTGGTTTTATATAAGATTCTAGATGGTTTCATTAGAAAATTTCATTCTCTCTAGGCTATATAAGTCACAATTTTTCTAATTGAAAGTTTTTTAAATTCTTAATTAAAATGCGTCTAATGTCACTTCGAATGTCCTATTTATGTATACATCAATCAAATTTATGAAAAAGATTCTTGAATACTTATTAATAATTAATAAATAATTGAATTGAAGAATTATTAATTAATGATTAATTTTGAGAATCTTGCAACATGCGACGTACAATAAACTGAAAATTGTATAATGTTCTATACATCTTGTACATCGCATGTTACAAGCGATACCTCTCTTTTACGTCTAGTTATACTATTAAATCTTCTTGGAAACAAACTAAGCAAAAAGAACTAACTTAAAACTAGACATATTTCTTTTTCCAGGCGAAACAGATGACGAATGGGCAACAGATGTTAGGCAAGTTTGGCACAACACAGTGTGTCTACATTTAATTGTCTTATATCGTTTATTTAACAAAAATGCTGTTCGTAATAAAAAAAAAACACACAACATACTGGATACATATCGACTTACGGTTCAATTAGACGATACCATCTTGATGGTGAGTATTGGTAACTGATGCAAATGGAATTTTTATGTGATTGCATTTCTTTTCGTGAGAACAAAACATGTAAGGTTAAGGAAATTCAAAGTCGAGTGCTTTTTATACATGGTTGGATAGAGCTCGATGAGCTGAACAAGAATATGTGTGTTTTAACGTCAAAATCCCCCTTCTGTAGCTGCCGAAAGCTTCAAGTCCTTTTAGATATGAGATGAAGCCAAAATGTTTACATCATTAGTCTCGCCATATCGACATGAAAAAAATTGAGTACCAGTTTTGGAAAATATTGCTTCGTTGTTGAGAAAATTAATTTTTTTGAAACAAATAGCAAAAAACAAGGAAATGCACTCGTATTTTACAGCTCTTGCCGTCAAACTTTTTGTGTGCAAAACCAATGTCATATTTGAAATCAGCATTATTGTCTCACTCAATGGAGAAAATTCTTCGCTGTCCAATGGTATGTTGGAGTAATAATATTATCACCAGTACTAGATGTGTTGCTGATGTTTCTACTTGTGAACCACTTAGTGATGTACACCTTGATGGTGAATTGGCGTCATGGCTACATTACTGACTACGATAAAGTTCATGAAGCGCACGAATTTGAGACTTATTGAAGACACATGATTGTATTGAAAATGTATGGAAAACTTTATGATTGGTTCAAATTGAGCCATCGACAAAGAATGACTAAGTGTTGAAATCATTGCAGCATCACACAACACATGTCCGACAAACTATAAATCAAATTATAAAATGTGTTTAGTTAACATTTTAAATTTAACATATCGAACATATAATAATTGTTCCTGCCATGATTCACCACTCATGTAGATATCGTGCACAGGTAGTAATCTGTTCACAATTTCTGATTTTTATATCGATTGTTTAATTGTTGAATCATTACTTTAATCAAATTTAAAGTTTTTCTATAATCAGGCAAACGTGCATCAGTTGCTGCTTTAGAGAAACTCATCAATAAATACCATGACATTAAACTCATCATAATCAAGCCAATTTCTGCAAGGAACAGCTAGCGATGAATTAGTTGAACGGTTGTTTGTTGAACAATGGCAACCAGAAATATCGTATGAATCTTATTTTAATGAATGTACCCAGGCAGACATTTTTTTAGACCAAACGCACTGCTAAACGCGTTTTTTTGCACTAAAAAGGTGTCTGAACGCGTTTTCTTACAACTG